AAGAGTGCGAGACAAAACCCAGAGGCCTGAAGACAAAGTGATGAACGGAATACAACAAACAATAAAAGCTATGAAGCAAAGTGCCAAGAATTGCCAAGCAATTCCAGAAAGCTTTAAGAAAGGAGGCTGCAATGGAGTTAAGGATTCAAGCAAGGAGGTATTCTTGGGTTCCAATGACTGGGTAACAAATAAATTTGAAGGAACAGTTGGCTGAGAACTCAGAGTCAGAATAGAGCTTAAATTTTCCACCAGGCTCCTGAGGGGAGATCTTTCAGTAGTCAAAGAAGCCAGAGTGGAAGGCGCCTGGTACAGATGCCGGGCATTTATTGACCATTCGTTACAATTACCCCTAGAGCCTCGGTAGATCACTTTTGCCATGTTTCAATGCTGGAAGCAGTAAATCCAAGAATAAAAATCCTGTAGTAATATTACAATTTAAAACAAACTCTTAATAACCAGCACTCTAATGGAAAACAACAAACAAGAACAAAAATTGCAAAATCCTCAAAGAAATATTTTCATCTTGAGTGCCTACCCAATTATCCAACATACCAAGCACTTATTAGAAGAACGTTTTCCTTTAAATGGTATTCACTGTGTGCATCTACACATTCATTAATGCGCAGTGGTTACTGCATATTTATTTAATACTTGATTATACAAGTACTAAATTAAATTCACGGTAACCAGAGTTACTGCGTAGTAGTGCTGCTGAACATCTTTTTAGTGATGCTATTGTGCAACAGTGTAATAATACTGTGAGGTAGCATATTAGCACTGTTTGTGCTGTGATGAGTTACTGCGCAGTTAGTGTCTCATGTATACATGTCTACTGTGACCAAAAAGGTGTCAACCCTGCTCATTTTACTCACACGCATAATCCAAGAAAAGTGAATGGACCTGCTCATGCATATATAGCAAATCAGGATTTATCTCAAAGAACATATTGCCCATATTTGAATGAGAAAAGGATCCTTGGTTGAGCTGAAACAATATGGTCTTCAGTGAAGATTCTGGTGTCTGGACACAAATTTTGCCTTGACGTATTTAAAAAACTGAGGCACCAGGAAAATTTTCAAGTTATTACAGCAAAAAAAGCCAATCATCATCAAGACCAAAAAAAATTAAATATATTCTGGAAATACATTGCTGCCCTCAAATGAGGTAGGCTGCCCCACTTTGGGTTCTTTAGTTTTTAACCCAGTTTTCACTTGCTTCAGTAGTCTTTCCCTTTGTCCAGGTTCCTGAACTGCCACAGCTGGTGTTATTAGTAGGCTCAGAAATTCTGATTTTAATTAGAAACTTTATTCTGAAATACATTACATAGTTTACAGGTGGTAAGAAGTCGTGTCATTGAGAGATATTTCAGAACACTATGCTGAGTAAAATGGTTGTCAGATTTTCCTTGGAAAGTTTCCAGTTGTTTTTTTTTTTTAAAAACAAAGAAAACCAAAATATCTTCTTACAGAGCAGAGATGCAACTTAAAAATATCTGTATTTGAAGGTTATTACTACATTTACCTTATGGAGAAAGGATATGTTTAATCAATTCAAATAACTGCACATTTCAATGCCACATTTGGTATTATGGATGACAAATTCAACTTCTAAATAATCCTTGAATTGATAAAATTTAAAAGAAGAAATGTGTTCATTTCAATGACAAAATCATCTCTGATAAATAAGGCACAGTCAGAAACCTCTGAAACTATAAGTGACTACCAATTCAATTTTACTTTCACATATTTCTGTTTTTCTTTGATAGCCCAAAACAGTTTTCTGTCTGCTGCTGTAAGTTTTCAAGAGGTCAAAGCAGCAAGGCAACAAACAGAGAAAACACGCAAAAAATGTTTGGAGTTTATGATGGCTTAGAAATATCTGTAAAGTAGTTCATTTTTATAAATGGAGCATTCACCTGATATAAGAGAAGTGGTGACCATCCAAAGAAAAATACGGGTGTGGCATTATTTCTGCAAGTAGTGTCCAAGCTACATATCGATTCCCAAAATTCCAGAAAACATCACATCTGGCACAATTTAAGCTGGAGACATCATGTGCAATGATGCTCATAAGTGTCAATCGATCTTATTTATCAATGTTCCTCTCTCCACCAAAAGCCAAGTATTACACACATGTAAAGGCTGCCTACTTTAGATCACAGCTCAGGGAATATTAACTCCATTTAGATAAAGAGTAACTACTGCCATCACACTTTGTGCTATTTATTAAACAAAACAGTCTTCCAAAATGGTGCTAAATGAACAAACAATTCATATTTTGGTTGGAAAAAGCTCAAGAAACCCATAAGATGTGGTGATGTTTTAAGATACTGGAACACATTTTAAAAAAAATATTTAAATTTTCAAATGTGAGGGTTTTCCCCACTCAGATCCTTAAGATCTGATGTGGCCTTTATGATCTGTGAGTTTTCAGATTCACCTCATCTGTAGATTACTGTTTTCAATCTTAAATCAAGGCAAGTAAAGTTAGGTATTCATTTTCGTTTAATAAGCTTCAAGCAAAAAATCACCAAAATTGGGTTTTTTGACTATTTGTATCGTAAGTTAGAAGATAATGTTATATGTTGTTCTGTGAAACAAATACAAGCACTAAAAATACAAAAGTTTTTAAAAAACCATTTGCAAAGCTGAACTCATATTGCAGCTTTGAGGTAAAAAAATTCTGTAAATGACACAGTCATGACAAATGTTGAATATAAAATACATTCTAAAAGTACTTTACAGAATGGTTGAGTTTCCTTATCAGGCATAAAAGCTGAGAAGAAATGAAGTTATGATTAGCAGTTCACATACAGAACACAAAGCAATAAGTTTAAATCAGACTATTTTGGTTTGTGTAGCCCTTTATTAGCAACTAAAATAGAAGATATCTGTTGTACAACACGGGTAGTAACTGACTATACTGGAGATTTATTATATTCTAATACAGGATCATTTATAAATGCATTTTTATTAAAAAGCTTCCACCCCTTTTTTCTGTTTACAACTTGCAAAACTATTCTGAAAGCTGAATACATGTGCACAGGTCTGCAAAGAGTGCAAATTTAGGATATGGTAAATGCTTTACATGTTGTACTTTTAAGGACTGTCTGCCACCATGCCTTTACAATCATCATCACCTTTTAAAATCACAAAATATTGACAGACACCAGCCTTTTTTCCATTGTCCTAAACAAGGCATTTTTAAATGAGTTGAAACTAAGGAAGGACTACACCTACTAGAAAAGAAGAGAGTTCTATTAGTTTGAGGTTTCAGTATACCCAAAGACCAGGAACTGTATCTTTGCAAGGGCTAGGCTGGGACCCCGTATAGAGAGTGTGTGCAGGTGCCATCCCTGAGTATTCAAAGTTTCAGTGGACCATCAGTGCTCCAGCTGCGTAACTCACTGAGCTGTCTTGCCAGTTTCGACACTGGCTTGATTGGGCATAATTCAAAAATGAAAAGCTCATATTCATTCCATTCTTCTGGAGCTCATTGATAGCCTAGGAGAAACAAAAAAAAAGTGTAAGAAAAAGTTATTTGTGAGATGTTTCAAGCGATCAGGCTTCTCCTACTTTCTAGCTCTCAATCCTTCCGCTCAAGCAGGACTCCATGAGTTCCTACACCTTTGCTCAAAAAAGCTAAAATGATTGAACACACAACATCTTCTGAGAAAAAACCCTGTTTTGTAGGGGGCTAGAAATTTAAGCAAGACAGCCATAACTAAGGAGAATGACAGAGCTTGATGTTTTTGAGGCAGATGTGCCATTAAAGAGAAAGAAAAACATGCAGCAAAAAAAGACATCTGAAGATGTAACATGAGAAGAGGAAGACGTGAAAGAAAGGAATATTAGATTTATTTCTAAATTCCACTTTAAATACAAAGGATCATACTATTTTTGGAATATGTGCACCACCATAATGTTTAACTTTATTACATGCATCCTATCCTAGACCTGTCAATGCAGATTTAATCACATGCTCCCTCAGTAAAGAGATTCCTCAGCATATTCTCCAGAGATCAACCTCCAAAGGAATAAAACCTTCTCTGATAAAAAGTAATGATATACTTCTTAATTTTATGTAACATATTTTACAATGTAAGGCTAAATTTGCTAGGGTGGCTTCAGCTGATTTGCACCATTCCAACAATGCTATGAGCACCAATGACCCAGCTCAGTCAACTAGCTACACAAGGTTTATCTTGGCACTGCATCACTAGAGGGGCACAAAGCACCCACAGCATACCAGCTGTGAATGAGACCGACCCATAATTGTTCCTTTTAAATTTAGGAGTTGACCTTTGCAAAGCCACACTGTGTTACTGGATGATCTCCATTACATTTGTAAAATCTGAACACAGTCAGACCTCTCAAGGCACACATAACCGCCAGACGGAAAATACACAGACAAACTTTGGGG